TTGTTAGTTGTGCCAGCTCGAGGTAATTTTTTTTTTTAATTTAATTGAAACAAATATTTTTAATTTTCTCCAATTAATTTCAGGGTCCCGAAGATGGTTACCGCGGTGTAACCGAAATATATTGGAGACACTTAAGAACCTGTGTTTTAATTAAGATTAAAAAAAAAATGATATCGAGCCGGCACAATTAACAAATTAAGAAATAAAAAGGTCGCCAAAGCATTCATCATATTTATTTTTATTTTTATTTCATTGTATTTTTTAGTTGTTATATATTTTTTTTTTATATTTTATATATTTAATTTATTTTGGTTACTTGTTCATTAAATATACTTTATGGCTTATTTATTTCATCTCATTTTATTTTACACTCTTTTATTTCAATTTTAATTCATTCTATTTTACTTAATTTTTAAATTTTGTTATTTTTTCTTTAATTTATTTTTGCATTTTAAAACTTTCATTGCACTTTTGATTTTTGTATGTTTAATATTTTTTATAATCTATATGTATTTTATGCATTAATTTTTTTTTATCATCTTATTTTATTTTAGCTATTTTTTTTTTTAGTTATAATTTATTAAATTCTATTTAACTTTATTTTTTAACTGAATTTGTTTGTTTATTTTATTTTTTATAAATTGTTTACATTAATTTTTCTTTATCTAACCAAAGTTCTCAGCACTGCTAAACCGCAACAATGTGTCGGATATTATTGTAATTTATACCAATGCATGCAAATGTACGTTGGTATGTATGTATATCTATGTATGTATGAATCCAATGTTCTTTTTTTTTGATAAAACGCCCATCGTGTTGATATGCAATGATAAATGCACAGAGGAAATAAATATATTGCACTAAAAAACGTATATACATATCGTCGCCTGAAAGGCAAAAAGACGTAACAACATCGTAACTGAAATGGAAAAAGTCCTGACTAATATTTTTTTATTTTTTTCATAAAATGATTTGGGAGTTGTAATTCAATGAAATCCATCATGTCAATGAAAAGCTGAATTTTGAATGTTTTATTAGTTACGACTTTTTGTATTTCAGCGAAGATGTTTGTTACGTCTTTTGGCATTTCAGGTGACGATATGTACATATGTACATATATCGTATGTATGTACTTGTGCATGCACGAATGTCATTGTTTTGACACGTGTTGGCATTTATTTGATACTCGATTGTCTGTATGTACATACATACTTAGATACCTGTGTTCATATGTATGCCTTTATTTAGTTACATACGTACCTACTTACGTCAATTTGTTTAGCGATTACTCGTTACATTGGCATGTGGCATCTTGAGTATTTGCCAACCAATTTCAATTACATACATTTCCATTTAATTTTACATATTTATGTATTTAAATTTTTTTTTTTAATTTGTATTTTAAACGCCCACACAGACTCACAATCGTTATCTGCCTCTCGCTCTAACTCTGCTGCACGGTTCTGCCGCCCCTGCAGCGACACTAATGAGTGCCTACTTCTAGCTGGCGAATACTTTGTAGCTGTTTGTAAACAAGCTTCTTTCTATCTATAGCAGACACGTTTCTCAAGTGCATATTTTAATTTGTTTACAATTATTTTGCGCGCACTGTTACATTGTAAGAATATACTCCGCGCCAATTTATTGTCTGGTTTAGAGCACCTAAATATTATGCATTCATTTGCTTGCAAACACTTACAGATACATATATCTATTTATACAAACATTCACACATACATACATTTGTATGCATGTATGCGTTACGCGCATTCTTATCAATATACTTAAGCTAAATGAATAGCAAAATTATTGCAAAACTTACCACTTCTAATGCAATGATTTGCAAAATTTGCTTACACTTTATAGTCATTTATTCCATCCATCAGACTGCTACCGTCGTACTGTGTAGACACTTTAGTTTATCGTCACGTTTCGCTGTGGTATGTCAAGTTTGTTGTTGTTTATGTAAGTGTAAATTAATCGTTTATTTTGAAAATTGCTGCTTATAAACAATTAAGTATAAATTATTCATTTAAAATTCATATTCATCTACATTTTTCAATGATCGTATTATACTTGCTGATATAAGCTCATCTGACCTTAGGTAAACACTAAACATTATTATAATAATATATAGCAAAGCTCATTGAATTAAAGCTACATAAATAAATATATTTCTTTGGCTCGCCAACTACTGCTCCAAGATCTATAGAAAGAAAAGAAGTCTTCATCTTTTCTGACAGCCTCAAAGCTTTATGGCTCAACCAGCCACTGACGGCGCGCCGAACATCTTGGAATTAGATGGATAAGCGTTATAGAATTTAAGTCATATGTATGTATATATAGAGGGTGATTGCAAAGACGACGAATCGGCACTGTGAAACCGGCAGGATTACTTGTAACGATGCATCAAGGCAAAATACTTATTTTCCACAGCACTTGGGCTATTAAGTCTGTGAGGCGTTATAAATCTCCAGGACCAGATGGCATATATTCCCCGCCGAAATTCAGCAAGCAGGTCGACCTTTTATACCCACTGCTTACTAACATTTTCAAGACAAATATTTAGCCATTTCTAACTGGTCGAGACTTTCTAGTTCCTAAAATACCATTGATTGATCTTTCTTCCATCACAACACATTTAATGCTAATCGGTCGTTAAATACAGTTATGGCCACTATTTCCGTATCTAATGAACTTGATCTGTTGACACGCCTTGTCTAGCATACCAGTTTTTATGGGTTTTTAATACCAAGCTTTGAGTGTGAAAGAATTTCATGGTAAGATTTTTGTTGCCTTAGTTTGAGTGAGTTCTTAAATGCTATTCGAGCATACTATGGCACTTCGATATAAAGAAATTATAGTCTATTCATTTTTTATTTATAGAACATACATACCCTCGATGCGGTAAAAAAATGGATTTCTGTAGTTTCCGGTTGAAATAAAGTCAGAGTCAATCGTGTGGGAGGCAATTAACTGAAGTATAGTGAGGTGATATGTCTCATACAGTTTTTTTGCTAATTTCATAGTTTTAAAAAAACATATAAATTTTTAAAAAAAAAAAAAAAAAAAAAAAAAAATAGGAAAACTAGGAAAACTAAAATGTGGCTACGGTGATTCTGAGAGAACGATAAGGCTGCGGGTATTGCGTACCTGCTACAAAAATATTGTGCGAAAATGCGCTACACCCTCGGCAAAAAAATAAATTCTCAAAAATCAGCGGTAATTTTTATCGACTTGAAAGTAGCACTTTATTATATTACAATTTAATGGGCTACAGAACTGCAAACTTAAAATTTTTCTAAGAAATTGAATTCAAAAAATTAAAATTTCGATGAAAATTTCTTGGTGTTCTTGCATTTTTCTGGGTGCTATATGAAATTAAAAAAAAAAAAAATATTGTGCTTTTTACTGTTGAATTAACTATATTTTTATTAGAAAATAAGCAAAAATTGGTTTAAAAAATATAAAAGATTAAATCTGCAGGGTGTGCATACTTTTAACGCTGACTGTATTTATGTTTGTACATTCGACTGCATCAACAAAAAAAGTTGCAAGTTGTCCGCCGGGATTACCAAATTTATTATATTGGAAGACACACCAAAATATTTCGGAAAAATATTAAGATTTACGTGAGCTGGACCGATTTCGAAATACATACATCCAATAATTGAGTTTTTTATAAATGCAAATAGTTTCTTAAATAATTTTTTGAAAAAACTCCACTCAGATGACAAATTAGTTAAGGCTCAAAAAAACTGCATTAATACAATGTATATAAAAATATTTTTCAACGGAATTAATACAATATTTGATCCTGCCTTTTTTTTAATTGTTCAAAGATTGGTTTAAGAAAACCTCGAATAACTGGCACAAAATTATGCCGTTTTAGACTTGTGAGGAATCGAGGAATTTTTTCATCACTTACTTTGCAAAAAAAATCATTCACGTTCCAATTTTTTTTTTTCAAATATCAACACATCTTAACTCAACTTGCAATGACGCTCGTTGATCCCACCTTTCTCTTTCATACCAGGAATGAGTTTGTTTGCAAAGGTGATACCCCAAAGATACCCCATAAGTCCAAATCGATAAAGTTTTGGCCGTTATTCAATTTTTTTAAACCAATATTTGAAAAAAAAAAAAATCAAAAATAGCATCAAAAATCTCATTATGATTCCGTTTAATTTTTTTTTTAATATTTTTATATATTTTATTTATTTTACACTTTAAAAAGCTATTTTTATTCATAAAAAACTAAATTTTTGGAGGTATTTTCAAATTGGTCCAAGTCACGTAAATCTTCACATTTCCCCGAAATAACAGTACCGTTTTTTTTTGTATGGGAGTGACGCAGTCTAATGTAAATACATATCTAGTACATATTAGTACGCACCCGAACTAATTTGGGGAAGAATAAAAACGATATTTTGAAATCCCTCTAAAATGTTTAATTTCGAAATTGTGATATTTGTAAAGTTTATCAGGCATGTTCTGAAATTTGAATGTTTGAAATCGACTCGATTTGCCAAATATTTTTTAATTATATCTGATGAAAAGAGTGAATATTATAATTGAAAACTATAAAGGAAGCAACAGCGATATGAAGTAAATCATATTAATGCGAGACTTAAAAATTTTTGGATTAAAAACCATCGAAAAAATTATCGAAATCGAGTCGATTTGAAATTTTCGAATTTCAGAGCATGCCAGTATGTTTTGCTTAATTATGTTATGTTACGTCATGTGTTGTGTTATGTGATGTTATGTTGAAATATGCTATGTTATGTTGTGTTTTTTTAATTTCTCAAATTCTTCGTATTAACCTTAACATATTTGGTTTAATTATTTTTTTTAAACTTTGTATACATAAATATTTAAATGACGACATTTATATACATATTTACAGCTGATTTACAGAACTGCTTAGCATTAAGTTCCACAAATATTCTCCCACCATACTCACATTTCACTTTGTTTTTCTGCTTCTATTCTTCCAGATAGACGAACACTTGTAGGCGTTTATTTTCAACCACGCGCCGTGGTGTCGGCGCCACCGCCACCGACACTGCCACCATAAACACCCAACAATTGCCAACAACAAAGGCGAGCAATTGTTTGCCATATAACATCTGTACATATCGATTATCAGCCGAGTACCAGCGTGTACCGCTTGAAATCGGCTAGAAGTCAGTTAGTGCATCACCCGCCTGCAGATAACAGCGCGCACACGTGCGGCAACAGCAACAGCAACAGCAGCAGCAGCAGCAGCTTAGTGACCGCAATCTATGCACCAGCTGCCGCCAGCTTATCAGCAGACTTGTCATAAAATGACCGAGAATCAAATATTTTCCATGTCGACCGATCTATTCGACACCTCGTCCAACAGCAGCAATCCACTCAAGTGTGATCTCTTCTCGTTGGCCCTGAGCAACAGCAACAGTTCAAGTTTACTATTCGGCACATCAGCGCTGCCCGCACTTAGCCCACTGCAGCAGCTGAATGTGAATACGGTTTTCAATTGCAATTCCAATTCCAGTCCCAATTCCAATTCCAATTCCAATTATCTTTCGAATACGAATTCGAACGCGAATACACCCAACGACCAACAGCAACAGCAGCACATTTACGGCAACAGCAATAATAGCGTGAGTAGCGCTGGCAGCGGTAGTGGCGGCAGCATCAATTGTAGCAGTAATGTGATGCTGACCAACGCCATTAGTATACCGCGCAGTAATAATCCCAATCAAAGCCATAATCCTTGGGCGCAAGAACGCGATTCGCATCCTCATCCCAGTCCGAGTCCTTTGCATCATCCACTCAACACACACCAGCATCATCACCAACTTTCTGTCATGATGTCGACACAACAAAATAATCAACAGCAACAACAGCAGCAGCAGCAACAGCAGCAACAACAACAACAACAGCAGTCGTTGCAACAGTCACAGCCTCGACTTTTCGTCGATTTCTCTGATTATGGCTTGGATGTGGCCTCCTTGGATGCTGCTTCGCTTTCGCCGACACTGCTGCAGGATGTCAGCCTAGGCGCCGCTTCGCCACTGCACTGCATCGCAACGAATGGCAATCTTTCGTCATCGTTCTATGCGCCAGATGCTTCACCAGTCAGCAACAGCGGCAGCAATAGCATTGTGGGTAGCGTTGGTACCGCTGACTCTGCCAGCACGTTGCTGGGCTTGAACGACAGCATACGCTCTGGTGAGGATGCCAACAACTCTTTGCTCTTCGACGTCACTGGCACACCCAATTCCAGTGCGATGTGGAGTGATATTAGCAATGCGATCATCACCAAGCATGAACCTTTCACGCTGGAGGATGACTACATATTTCCCATTGATAAGGCTGAGATACAGGCTGCTGGATTTGGTGATATACCAGATGAGACTTTTCTTGATGGCATTGATAATTTCGATGAACTTTTGCCGGGTGCCATAAGCGGTGGCAGCCAGAATGATTTCATTCTATCACCTCAGCCAAATAATAGCTCTAATAATTTACAACAAATGGCTAGCCCACAGGCTTCACCAAGCGGTGGGCCACCAATGGAATTGTTGCAGTTGCATAAGCAGCAGCAGCAACAGCAACAACAACACCACCAACGCCAGCAGCAATTGACTCAGTTGCAAACGGTGCAACAGCAACAGCAGCAGCAGCAGCAACAACAACAACAGCCACGACTACAGCACAGCAATAGCGCTGGCGGTGCCATACATACACACCACAACCACCATAACTCATCTAGTCCATATGAAATCTATCACAGCACACCAAATAAGCAGCAGCAGCAACAACAACATCAGTTGAGCAGTTCTGGCTCGAACTCATTCTCGCCGGTTAGTCAGGTGAGCTTACAAAAGTAGCAAGAAATTTTACAGAAAAATTCATCTTTTTAATGCATTCATCTTTTGGATGTAAATTGTATATTCCTTGAATGGTGCATGCATTTACATGTATGAACCTTTTCGAATTTCTTGGGGTGTATTCATCCTTTGGATGTAAAATCTGTAAATCTTTAGTGCGTATTCATCTTCTGAAGCACACATTCCTCATCATTCCGTTGTAGTCATCTTCAGAATTCATTCGTCTTTAAAACTATTTTTTTTTTATTTCCACACAGTTTGAAATATAAAATATTCATCTTTTAGACGTTTGCCCTTGTAAAACTCCTTCATCTTTAAAAAATTTGGTTGCCTAAAAAGTTGAAGCGAAAAAATGGTCATTCGTAGTTTTGGAGTGTCTGTTCATCCCTAAAAAGCTGTTTCATTAGTCTTTAAAGGAAAACTTTTCATCCTTTAGTTCGTGTTTATTAATTTTGGAAGCAAATTCTGAATTTGGTGTAGAAGAATTGAAAGTAAAAAATATTCATCTATAAAAAAATGCATCCTTTAGATGTAACCAATTTTAAAAGGTATACTTTACAAAGTTTTTCAGTTTTGTTCCTATAATTATGGTGGAAACCATTCATCCATTGCATGAAGTCGTCTTTAAAGCACATTCAAAATATGGGGTAAAAGTATTTAAAGTAAGAATATTCATCTATTAGATGATTTCATCATGCGGAACACGTTCATCTTAAATTTCAATTTGTATGGGAGATTTTTTCGACTATGCGCGTTTAGCACAGAAGGATTCAACCTACGTGTAATTCTAAGAAAATTTTCCGAAGAAACTATGGGTCTATGGTATACGCGCATAGCAAGAAAAAATTGACCCACCCTGATGTACATACATACATAAATTTTCTCAATTGTTTTATTCATTCACCCATTTATTAATCTCTTCTCTTCACCCACACAGCCCTCGCATTCGCCACTTCAACTGAATTCCATTACGCCACCACCACCGCCGCATGCCAATCGCTCACAATATCAGCAAGTTAAATCGCGCAACATGTTGGAATTGCAAAAGAAGGGATTCTCCATGTCGCCCGATCGTGTTAGCAGCAATGGCAGCAGCGTTGGTCTGTTAGGCCAATCGGTACCGGGCAACACTCATTTGCTTATGTCACGCAATGCGCTTAGTCCCAGCAGTGGTGGCAGTAGCAGCGGCTTTGGTAGCACCATTGGCGGCGGGGGCGGCGGCGGCGGCGGCAGCAGCACCGTTGGCTCAGTGCACAAGTCGTTCCATTATCAAGGTGATACATCCATATCGCGTCTATCTTCATCGGCGCCCACACATCTCGGACTCGAACACATTTGGAAGCGACGTGAACCGCGACAACATTTGTTGTCCACTGGCTCGCTGGTCGAGGCTGAATCATTCTCGTCGCTGAGTACCGGCAGTGTTTTGTCGCCGGATGGCATTGATTTCTCGCAGGACGATGACGACGATGCATCGACTGACTATAATAGCGATAACTATGATGATTTGTCGAGCGATGGTAAGTGACTATCTACTATGTAGAATATTTGTGTTATGAAAATTAATATTCTGATTGTTTTCTCCCTCAGGCTCCGATAATGAGGACGATTCGCGCACCACAATCGGACATTTGTCGAGCGGCAAAGGCAAGGAGCGCTACTTTTGGCAGTATAATGTGCAGGCGAAAGGACCGAAAGGCAAACGGCTCGTATTTCAGTCGCGTCTGGAGGATCCGCACGTCTTGAACGAGGCCACCGATCCGGTGTTTAGCCCCAATTGTTCCGTGCGTGGTATCAAGGTATTCAAAGTAAATACAACCAATTTGGGTCGTCGAGTTCAGCTGCAGTTCACTCTGATTCGCTGTGGGCTGTAGTTGTTTAAATTTGTATCATTGCTACAACATTTTTTTTTCATTTGATTTTGCAGCACAGCGGCAAAGCGCGCAAAGGTGATGGCAATGATCTCACACCAAATCCACGTAAACTACATATTATCGGCAAAGAGTTGGATAAGCTGAGTCGCACCATCAACGATATGACACCGGTATCGGAATTGCCTTTCAATGTGCGCCCCAAATCGCGCAAGGAGAAAAATAAATTAGCCTCACGCGCTTGCCGGCTCAAGAAGAAGGCCCAGCATGAGGCGAATAAAATAAAACTTTTTGGACTAGAAATTGAACACAGTAAGTGAAAGGCGTGTATTGGAGACCCCTATAATATGGAATATTTTAGGGTCGAATAAAGAAGTGAACATTTTGGGACATAACGATTAGTTTAGAGTGCTGAATAGTTATGATTTGCAATTTGGTTTACGAAACTGCACAAAACTTCTAGTACCTAACCTAATGTTCTATTCCTTAAATGTTTACCATAATTTCTTTATATTTGCTTATACATACGTATTAATTCAATTACTTTTCTAGAACGTTTAATTAATGGCATTTTCGAACTGAAACAAGCTCTGGCGCTCAAATACCAAAATAAAAATAATGGCGAAAACAACGAAGCGATTGATCAGCGCATCGAACAGATCTACAAAACGGCACAAAGTAAGCTTTAAAAGGGAAATAAATAAAAAAAATTACTTGTTAAATTTGCTAAACGGAATATTAATGGTAAAAGTGTTTGGGGAAAATAAGCTGAGATAGGACTACAATGCATTCAGCACTAGTCGAAAATAATCTAATCTAATGTTCGCTTTGTCTGGCCACTATGGAATGTGAAATTTTAATCTAGTTTCAATCAGGAAAAATATTGATGATTTTTGAGAGCAAAGTGAATGGTTGATATTGTCATCTGAGTTGGCCCACCTATGTAGGTGGGATCAGGGCATTGCATACAAAATAATTGCTAGGAATATGGCATTAAATCTCTGATTTAGTTTAAATATTGAATATACATATGTAAGAACATACATATATGTTTGCAAATATCATTGATATGGTTCATGAAAAAATGTTGATTGAAGTCTTACACCGCAATTCATAAAAAACAAAGGATACTTTAACTGCTTTATAAATAATCTTTTATGAAAATACCACTTTAAATCTATTTAATTTTTTATGAATAAGACCATTAAACTATAATAAATGTAAATGAAATATATTATTTTTCTCCCCCTTCTCTTAGCTGGCCTTCGTATAGCTGGTGATACTACAGACTTTGTTAACAAAGTGCTGGAGAATGTGAAAGGCGGTATACCAAATGGCGGACTAGAGGATCTAAGGCATTCATAGAATCGCGGCAAAAGAGGAAATATGAATGGGAGATGTGAATAGCTTTTAAGGATAAAAATTGGAGGCTCAAAAGTGAAAATGAAAAGAGAAGTGAAAGGAGAGAATACAAATGAAGAATGCGTGATGGAACGTGTAATAGAGGAGTAATCAGCAAAAATGAGGAAATGTGTGGCTGCCAAAAGTGGGATGATAAAAAGAGAGATGCGAGGGGCAAGAGGAGTAAAATGAAAAATCTGAAGCAGAAGTATTTGGTTAAAACAAGCGTACTGTACCGAAATGAGCTATGGAAAGTTGTATTTCTTGTTTTTTTTTTTAAGCGAAAACACTTGAAAACGAATTAAGGTTTGCGGGAGTAAAGGAAACTGGAACAGAAATTGAAAAAATGTTGCGGGCTCATTTTTATATTGATGCTAAAAAGCACTATTTGTTTAAAGCCCGAAAATGAGGAAACAATACATTGTAAAACGTTAACGAAAGAGGCCACAGGTTATGTTTTTCTTTAGCTCTTAAGTGATAATGTTATTTGAGTGAAAGGAAATGATGTTAAAATGTTGACGGGGAGAATAAAAGGAACTGTTGTTGTTGCTGTTTCGATGAGGTTGGATAATGAACAATGAGCTACCAGTTTTACCTGCCTATTTTATAAGGACTTTAATAAATATATTTTTTTGTGCTTCAAAAATATGGAGAAACGCTATATTTATACATACATATAATTATATAAAAACCTAATATATTTGCATAAACATATAATTAATAACTGTTATATACGCTATAAACATGATTATAGTAATTTAGGGAAACAAAAATGAATTGTTGCTATCGATGTGTGTGAAAAAGCAAGAGAATTTTGAATAAAAAATAAAAACAAAAAATACTAAAATATGTGCTGGTGTATATTTAAGCATTTAGTTATTAATAAATACTTGTCGAGCAGGAAGTACATAAGTGGAGGCAAACATACACACTCTATCCATGAAAATGTATAGTATGTGCGTTTGTGCGTTTATACATGAAATGTTAACTAATATTTTTGTATACATACAAACTTATACAGTTATGTACATGCATGTATTTATATGTAGCATGTTTTAATGTATTTTAAGCGTGTTTTTGAAATAATGTAGTTTATAGAATTTTATAATTATTATTGAATTATTTTTAAATCAATTTTATGTTTAGTTTGGCTGATATTGTTTTGTGCTTTATGTTTTGTTTATTATTAACACCTTGTACATACATTTATACAGTGAGGGTCAGTTATAGGCTACACATCGCTTGTGTATTCAAAGAAAAAACTGTGCTTTCCAAAGCACTTTTATCAAAAAAAAAATATATATATTTTTAACACAAACATTTCCAAAGTGTAGGATAAAAAAAATGCTAATTAGATGTGTTTAATTTCTCTCTGAAAACTTGTGTCTTTTATTTTCTAATCTCTTTTGTATTCGTTGTAAGCCGCTGGAGCCATAAATGTTCGAAAGTCATACACTTAACAACGACATTTACTGTTCACAACCTAAGTTCTTCGTTAAATATTGCTAGCTCACTAATTTTGTTTTAGTGTATTGCTGCACTTCACCTTATGGATTTGGCCCAGACTACTGCTGAACTTATTAAAATAGTAAAAATAAAGGTTAGGCATCAATACCGTTTGGCTCATACGATCATATACCTAAAGATGGAACCAATTGCAAAGAGTTCTGACGGTTTTTCAGTCGCAGATCTTCTTCAAATTTAGGTCTCACAGATCATGGAAAATTGATCGTCGTCTCAGTTTAGTAAATGCTGGATATAAGAAGGGGAAGTCTTCGATGTTCTCGACTTCACCATCATCCCAACAGCTGCAGCAGTAGGCGTTCGCTTGAAATCCTATTCTGCTAGAAAGAATTCCCTTTAAACAGTGGCCAATGATGATTCCAACAACCAGCTTAACCAGCGGTACTCTAGCATCGTAGGAGGTAGTAATGGCCACAAGTGCTGTGTATTCCCTTGCCAATATTTGAGTGCCAGATCGTTTAGATATTTCTGCACTTTTGCATAGACGAAGAAGACAATTTAAATATTTAACTGGAGCTCAAAACGAAGTTGTGTTTGTTGCCGCTAAATTCTGAGTTTTAGAGCAATTTTGAATAGAGGTCAAAAAAGGTTAGAGCAGTGACTTCCAATGCTCGTTGTTCTTGTTTCTTTCAATATAAAAAAGGCTTACGGAACGCTCTTGTACTGACAATTCTTGGGCTGTCATGCGAAAGGCCTCTAACTTTCAAATTGGCTTGTTGTTCTTGTGTTCTTGTAATATTAATAGCAGTTCTTGTCGCCAAAGTGTCTTCTAAATGATCTTCTTCTGACTTTTTTTTGCATCACTTCTCTTGGTTGATTCCTTAACGCCTCTGGCATCAGATTGGTAGGATATTCAGGGTACGCCAGGAGGCTGTGTTGTGTGGGCTCTTTCACAAACCGTTTGAAAGCGGCTTGAAGTGACGAAGATGAAATTCAAATATGCCGAACGCTTTCCATTGAGTGCAAGTATATAATTTTGCTCACTAAAATTTGAATCGATTAATGAGCAACAGCTCTATGCGATGGGCCAATTTCCTTGAGAGAACTTGATAAAAATTTTTTAGAAGTTTTTCGCTTTTATTTGCAAAATTAGATTTTTTTCACTTTGAGCACTTAGAAGATGCTAATCCACCAGTTGTGTTCGGACCTAATTTAATTGCCCTTCGTGGGTTTTTTATGTCTATTTGATTGATAACAATTACTATTTGACCACTACTGTTTGTTGGTAAAACGCAAGGGACCTTATCATATTTAAAGAAAGAGAGTATCCACTTAAATTAGAAAACGCCTCGAAAGATTCAAAAACGTAAAAGCGTTGACTGCACTGTTGGAATGTCTATGAAAAGTATTTCCTTGTTTGCAGCTCGCGAACTTTTTGTGTTCAGGCGAACAGCTAAATGTGGCAGACATTTTAGCTTTTGAGAAAAAAAATGCATTGAAATTTCAGAGGAAATTTTAAAAAAAGATGAGAAACACTAAAAAACCACATTACGCAGATTTTCTATAGGTTTTTCAATGAATATAGGTTTCGTTAAGTAGCTCGATGGTTTATTTGATTATTCTTAAGTTTGTTTTCCTGTGCTGGTTAAAATTTTATGTCGCCTTACATACATACATATGTGCATGCATATGTATGTTTGCTCATAACTTTCTGGAAAATAACAAAAAATGCACACAAACAGCTGAACGAAATAAAATAGAATAGCCAAATAGTGCTTGCTATATGCGTACATTTAAACAAGATTTTTATATATTTGTAAACGAAAGTAAAAACAAGGCACCGTAACAATGCTACCTTCATAATTTAATAAAAAAATGTACATATGAACATATACATAAATACATACATGCCTACCATACATATATGTACGAATGCATGTAAATAACGAGTAATATATATTTTCAATATTTAAACCTATTCTATATAACGGCTTAGGAAAGCTATGATTAAAATCTTAAACACTATTTTTAATATTGACATGCAAAATATTTGCCACATAAAAATATTTATAGGAAGCGCGCTCTGCGAGCCATTTGCTTTAGCAGTAATTAATAGAAAGTAGCTTCTTCTATACACACTAATGTAAAAATAAACAAAATAAATGTCTAGAAATATGTACGTTATGCTATAATTTTTATGAACTTCAACATATACAGGGTGATATAATTCTAATTATGCTAATTAATTTAATGTTTATTGCAATTATGTTTATTATTATCATTACTATTACTGTTAATATTAAATACGTATGCATACATTTTATTATCAATTTTGTTTATTAAAAAAAAAAAGTTAAAGCTTTTAAACTTATTTCGGCTTAATTTAAAATAATTGTGAATTTTATTAAAAAAACACTTGCGCGCCATGCATACATACAGATGTAAATGCCTGTACATAAATTAGGGCGCATCACTCTTCATACAAAAAAAAAAAAAAAATGTTGCAGTTTTTTATCGGAAATATAATATTTGGAATGTTTAAAGACTTCCGCCAAAATATTTGGAAAAAATATTAAGACTTACGAGAGCTAGACCTATTTGAAAATACCTCCTAAATTCGAGTGTCTAATAAATAAAATCAGTTTTAAAAAATATTTTCTTCTAAAGAATCATCTCTGCTGATATAACAGTTTAAGCTTACAAGGTCCTCATAAAAAGGCTTAAAAATTTTATTAATGAAATCAAAATAATGAGATTTTTGGAAGTATTTTAAAGTAGGTCTAGCTCACGTAAATCATAATATTTTTCCGAAATACATATTTTGGCGGACATTTTAAAAAATAATACCTTTTTTAATACCGGTGGAAAAACCGCCACTTGTTTTGCTGATACACCCTTATGTACATATGTATACATTTGTATTTGGCTGATGAATAATTTTGTTTGGGAAAATTTCTATGCAAAAAGAAAAAAAAAGGAATTTTTCTTGCTCAAATTCAACTGTAAATTGTAATAATTATAAAATGTAAATTGCGAAAGAAAAAAGAAGCTTACTGCAACAGAAAATTACGAAAAATAATTAAAACTTTGCAGCGGATCATAACAAATAGATTTTGAAAATTATAAAAAAGACTTTTAGGCATACACAACTAATATGAAAACTTCGCAAGAAAAATCAAAATTAAGTAATACAACTAAAAATATTTTTTATGCGCAAATGTAATGCTGTAGGAGTGAAGTTGTAGCAAAAAAAAATTAAACAAATTATTAAACAGCAGAGCCCAAGCCTCTATACAATAAAGTGGTGAAGTTTAATTTTTTGACATTCGACTGATTCAGCAAAAATATAAAAGGCAAATATTTCAAATAAGACAGTGTCAAATCTTTCAAACTAGTTTCATTACTTCATCTGGCCTAATTCGATTTTGAAAATGTGGTAACTTCAGATGGTAGGCTGTTGTTGTTGTAATACTATACAAATTCCCCTACGAGTTTTTGGGGAATGATGCTGGTCGTTCCGGTAACGTAGACCTGACTGACCTTATAATCGACTTTCACGCTTGCTGTATAATCGAGTTAAAATTTTGAGTTAGAATTTATTATTTAAATTTTTTTTTAATTATCTATATTTTTCGAGTTAAAATTCTGTGCTGTTCCTTTTTATAGATATTTTTTTTTATAGTTCGATTTTAGGTGAAGAAAAAAATTAATTTGGAATGTTTATTTTAAAGTATGTTCAATAAATTTAATAAGTAAATTTGCAATATACTTTTTAATCTACGCAATTTTATTATTTTAGAAAATTCAGTTCTGCATAGATGTTTTTATATTTTTTTTTTAATTTCCACGTTAAAATTTTTATTCATATTCGGCTTGTAATTAAAAAATTTCAACTGCAATAAATTTTTGGTTATAATTAGTAAGGAATTACTGAAAATTTTTTTTTTGATTTTTTTTTTGTAATATGTTTCACTTGTTTTTTTTTACTTTTGATTTGAAAACTTTGCTCAGTAATTTTTTTTCGTATGTATTTTGGTTTACACTTTTATTTGCACAAATTTAAAAATGAAACAACACTATACAACTTTTAAATTGCCATAGAATTCAGTTTTAAATCCGATTCATGCAAGCAAGATCACACAATTTTTGACGATTTTAAAAAGTCTATAAAATGTTAAGCTTTACAGGCATAATTTCTTCGTGTAAAGCTACAACTGTGCAATTTTAAATTATTTGATTCAAATTAAATTTATTTTATTATTTACTTTTATAAAATTTGTTTTTAATAATTATTTTTTAAATTTCAGATGGTAGGCTGCCGCGAAATTTTTGTTAGACTCGCAATGTGTTTATTTTGTTTTCAGCTTTTTTTTTTATTATGAAAGCATAATTTTATTACAAAAATCATATTCTTAATCTCAATTTTGTGAGAATTGAAAA